CAAAACAAAAAAACAAAAAAATGAAAAAATGAAAAAATGAAAAAACAAAAACAAAAACAAAAAAGTCAAAAATATCGAAAATGCTCTGTACCCGAACATTTCAGCCAGTCGTACCATTATTCATCCAGCCGACTATATTTTTCATCAGGCCATGAGTAGTTGTATGGCCAGGTGAAAAATATACTGTTAGATCAATAGGGTAAAGCTATCATGATTTGAAAGAAGAAACAAGTATTTTGAAGGATTTCACATTTCTATTCATCACATGATTTACAACAAGCCAGTAATGAAATATAGAGCTTATAAATGAAGAAAGAAAGAGAGAAGATGAAAAATATTCAAAGCTTCAAGTTAAGCTCTAATGGTGCTTGAAAAATGGTGGTTCGAGAAGAGGTAGGGTGATGAGCTCTCAAAAACAAGTCTCTTGACCTTTGAAAATTTTGTAACCCATGAGAAAGAAGTTTGGTCATGTATTTGAAAAATTTAGGGGTCAAAATATCTAAGATATTTGTCGAAAAATCACACACACACACACACACACACACAAAAACAAAAAAAACAAAAAAACAAAAAAATGAAAAAACGAAAAAACAAAAACAAAAAAGTCAAAAATATCGAAAATGCTCTGTACCCGAACATTTCAGCCAGCCGTACCATTATTCATCCAGCCGGCTATATTTTTCATCAAGCCATGAGTTGTCGTATGGCCAGATGAAAAATATACTGTTAGATCAATAGGGTAAAGCTAGCATGATTTGAAAGAAGAAACAAGTATTTTGAAGGATTTCACATTTCTATCCATCACATGATTTACAACAAGCTAGCAATGAAATATAGAGCTTATAGATGAAGAAAGAAAGAGAGAAGATGAAAAATATTCAAAGCTTCACCTCTTGGAAGAAAGTGAGCTTCTTGGTTGTCAAACCCCTTTCTTAGCACCCTCAAGATCTCTTAGTATAGCTTAGGATCTTTAGCAAGAAGTTTAAAGTTAAGCTCTAATGGTGTTTGAAAAATGGAGGTTGAAGGAGAGGTAGGGTGATGAGCTCTCAAAAACAAGTCTCTTGACCTTTGAAAATTTTGTAACGCTTAAGAAAGAAGTTTGATCATGTATTTGTAGACTTTAGGGGTCAAAATATCTAGGATATTTGTAGAAAATTCACACACACACACACACACACACACACACACACACAGAAAAAAAGATGTCAAAATTATCGAAAATGCTCTGTAGCTAAACATTTCAGCCAGCCGTACCATTATGCATCCGGCCGACTATATTTTTCATCCAGCTATGAGTTGTTGTATGGCTAGATGAAAATATACCGTTAGATCAATAGGGTAAATCTAGCATGATTTGAAAGGAGAAAAAAGTATTTCATAGGATTTCACCATTTCTATTCATTCCCATTACATCCTTTGCTCAATCTACTCAAAAAGATAATTTTATAGTTTGAAAAGGAAAGTCTCGGGACATTATAGAAATGTTTGGAACTGCACAACTAAATGTATTTTGAAAAAGGTAATTTGGTCTAAAATGTTTTGGCCAAAACAGGTGTAAGGTTGGAATTAAAGCCTGAGTTCGGACTTCTTGCTGATGAATTCACAAGATTAGCACATCTTGACTTTCATCATCGGGTGTTCGGAAAAGAACACGCCAGTTAAAATGGGATGTCTACAAGGACCTATGACCACTATGGTCACAGTTCCACCCCAAGTGATCCCTTTCCTTGCCTCAAATTCCCCATTGTAACCCCCTTAACCCCTAACCAACTACTTTTCCAAGACTGCCAACCAATGTTTTACCGTTGAGCAAACTAGAAAAAGAACCGGGACATGGGTCAGTGGTTCAACTGTTGTGTTAACCAAAATCAAATCATGATGTCATAATTATGTTAAACAAATATTAATAATTATGCATAAATAAAATATAGATATTAAATTTTTTTAAAAAATACTTGTGTTATCAATTTAATTTTAATTCAAGATTTAAAATTTTAATAACATAAAAACAATGATGTAAATAATACATGTCTCCAATTACAACTCAAGATTAGTTTCCTTGGTAGTAAGAGGTTATCTACTGTGTTTGAATCTCATGTTTAATCCTCGGCAACAACATTTTTTAGTGAAGCATGAAATGCATCAACCTAGCACCGATTGATGTGAATTGTGCCTTGTTCAACCACACATTTAAGTGGTTTTTCTAAAAAAGATCAGTTATTAGAAGAGTCTAGTTTTAAGGGTTGATTCGGATCAGAACCTAGACCCATCATCTAGACCTCCCCTCTTCAATTGCGACCTAGTTTCTCTACTGTGTGATCCAACTATCATCTTCTCGTACAAGAGAAAGAGACATAAAGAAAACCTAGATATAAGGTTTGAAGAGAAGAAAACCCATATCTAAGGTTTGAAGAGAAAAAGAAAAAGAAGAGAAAGTTAGAGGTGGAAATAGAGAGAGAGAGAGAGAGAAGATAGTTACAGATATGCAGCGCCAAAGGGTTGAAGAGGGGCAATGGGGGTGGAGCTTGTTGGCACGATGGGGAAGAGTATAGAAATGAAGTAAGTTGTTGTGGAAGTAGATGGCCTTGACAAGAGGGCGCAACGGCAAGAGGGGAATGAGAAAGGCGACGACAGCAATTTTTGACATGGCGACAATGGCAATAATGGTGAAGTTAGGATTAAGGTTAGGGTTGGAATTGGAAAAAATATGGATATTTTGGATATTTGAAATTGATGGTGAACATTGAGCAAAATTCAAAATTGTGTGGTGTGTATTGAGGTAATTTGTGGTTTGTAAATAGAATTGCCCTTTTTTGTTTTTTCAAGTTTACTCTAACATAAAATTTCATTTTACCCCATCCCTAACCTCTCTAACCCTAATTTTCTAAACTCGAACCCCACCCTCACCCCATTCCCATTCTACAAACCATCACCATTACCTTAGGTCGTTACAACCACTCCATTCCTATGTCAAACCACACCTTGTTGGGCCCTTCCTACCACCCCCAATCGATAGCTTTTCTTCTCACCTCTATAATTTCCTAGCCCTTCTTGTTAACCCCCAACATCGGCCAACAAGCTCTTCCGCAACTATGAATGAGAGAGGACAACAAATAGAGAATGGTGGAGTGACGTTTGCAATGAAGAGGGCCACTGGAGGTGGAGGGTAAATAGATGTAAACACCCATTTTCACCGTCTATAATTGTTGGCCCTACTTGGAAAATGCTACCTTATGATGAACTCAAGAGTGACCGGGAACTTTTGATTTGCTAGCTTAAATCCAAGATTAAATGCACTAGGATTGACTTTAGCCTACCAAAACATCCCTAACAAACCATTCTTAGCCAATTTGAACCACATTGGACCGTCAAGATTCAATTCTTTTCTATTCTTTCTTGACTTGTACATGCTATTCTCTCGGGGGAAAAAACATTACAAATTTTCTTACGTAAATTATCACACATACATCCCATAACTCATATTAAATAAATAGTAGAAAACCCTTACCTCAAACAAGAATATGAAGAAAAATTCACTAAAAGATTAGATACAACTAAAAAGTTTTAAATAAATAAATAAATAAACTAAAATATGAAAAAAGAAATTCACTAAAAACAAACGAAAGCATTCCTAGAAGGTTTTCTTGAAGTAGATAAAACGACAACATTCTAGAAGGTTTCTCATCTTTTCACTCATTCCAACTTTCTACACTTGTTTCTTTTGAAATAGATCAACATTTTCGAAAGCACAAAGTAAGAAATTGATGAAAGGAGAAATTATACTAACAGTTCTTATAGTTTGGGACATGTGTCACTTTGGTCCCTGACTTTTCAATTATGACACATTTGACCCTAAATTTTGAATTTTGTTCCAAATTAGGATAACTGAAGACCATTGCTCAATTTCAAGGGCAAAGTTGTCAATTTGATAAAAAATAAACTAATTTGACGAAAATAAATGTCAAATTTTTTTTTTTAATTTTTAAAAAATTATATCTACCCACCAAAGATAAAATTATGTAAAATTGATAAATCTTTTACGTATTTATTTATTAATTTATTTACCAAATTAATTTTTATTATGTGTTTGGATGATGATCATGTAATGAGTGGTTATTAGACTTTTAATGTGTAATTGATATATTTAATATGTGAAATGTTTTTAGTTTTGGATTTTTTGATTTAATGGATTGGTTTAATAATGATATCAAAATTAGCGCCATATTTGACTTTTGAAAAAATAGAAACTAATTTAATTGAAGTAAAAATAATCACCTATTACATGATCATTATCCAAACACATAATTAAAATTAATTTGGTAGAAAACATAAATAAATAAATGTGCAAGATATTTATCAATTTTACATAATTTTATCTTTGGTGGGTAGAAATAATTTTTAAAAATTCAAAAATATTTTTTTTAACATTTATTTTGGTCAAATTAGTTTATATTTTATCAAATTGATGATTTTGCCCTTGAAATTGAGCAATGGTACCTTCAATTGTCCTTATTTGGAACAAGATTCAAAATTTAGAATCAAATATATCACAATTGAAAAATCAGGGACCAAAGTAACATAAGTCTCAAACTATAGGGACCATTAATGTAATTTGCCCATGATAAAATGCTTGAGAAGGTCTCTCTAACTATAGTGGTCTTTCTCATCTAAGGGTTATACTTGAGCTGAGATAGTGCAATCTTTATTTCGAAATTTTTCAGAGAGCACCCAAGTCTTAAAGCTAATAAAAAATGAGGTGTCTACAAGGTCCACAAGATGAGACCTGAGACCCACCCAGCCACTCCAACACCTCTGTGAATCCGGCTGCACCCATGAATCCACTGTCAATTGATTTTCATCATAAACTATGTTAAATTCATTAAATAATTTAAAATCTAATACAAAGGACGAAGAGCTAGATATTCATTCTTTATTTAAAGGATAAAAGACGAAGACATTAACCAACTTATTTAAATAATACATAAACAAACTTAAGTTCTCTCCAGTTCAGTGTTGGCCATCATAGTTTTTATAAACTTTAACACAAACACGGATACAAACACCAAATAAGAAAAATAAATACTACATTTGAATACTGGTGGTGTTCCATAATCATGCATGTTTCTTAGAGACCTCGATATACATGCCATCTTGAAATTGTAACATAGGTGTTTGGGCTATATCTCCTCCCTTAATTTTCGTCCACCTATCAGAATCAAAAATAGAAATCAAAAAACACATTAAGACTTTCTTTTAAATGAAAAATAAAAAAATTGTAAAAATCTTATTAACATGTTATCTTAATTTTCAGATTCATCCTTTTTTTTTTCCTTGTGAAAGTAATCAACTGATATAAATTTGTCATGAAGATATATCCTCTTAACTAAATGCATACTAAGAATTGCATTTTATTATTTTTTTCCATTTTCTTCATTTTAGGTCATATTTGTCACTATAATTGAAACAACATGAACAACTATGAAATGTGAAACAAATTTTAAAAGGACATTATTAGTGGTAGTAGTACATACTTGCATTCACTGACTAAAACATGTAGGAAGGTGGCAAAAAATGCCTTGGAGAACTCTTCACCTGCGCATTGTCTTATCCCTCCACCAAAAGGCATAAAATTCTTTGATGCGGTTTGTGGATCAATGTCCTATTTTCATCAATGAATCAAAGATTGGGTCATATATATAATGTTTTTATGTCTCAATGCACTATCAATAATATTAGATTATGTGAGAATTTTGGGACACTAAAATTTCAACACATGATCTAATGAATGAAAATGCATATTGGGACAATAGATCTGTGACCAACAATATTAACCTTCCAACGTCTCGGATTGAATGCAAGTGGATCCTTAAATACGTTGGGATTTAGTTGAAGAGTACAAGTGACAATCATAATGGCCCAACCTGCTGGAATTGTATAACCTAGAGATTGGAATTAGACAATTGTTATTAAACTCTGAGATGATTTAAGTTTGAGATGTGCAACCCCAAGCATCATGTCACAAATCATTTAACAGGTCGGAATTATAAAACATGTGGTGTTCTTTCCTAATAGGAGACGAAGGAATACATGACCATTTGACAAAGGGAACCACACATGGAGTAGCTCCTCTCAATAGTTCATTTTCTCCATAATTCTCAAGAATTTATTTTATGGTTTTCGTAGGTGTAGACACCCCATTTTTGACCGACCTTAAGACTCAGACGTCACCGATTGAGCGCTTGGTGATGTTGCATATCGTGCTCGTTCAGAGGTTTCGGAGTCTTGGCCGCTAGCTTTGCCTCCGGACTTCCGGACTCTTTCATGCTTTGCCTCGATTTGCGAACCAGACTCTGTTTTCTCTGTTTTCTCTTCGCGAAGGGAGGGAGAGGTCTCGTAGACCATCTCTCATTGGCCATAGGCTACGTTTCATGGTCGTAGGCCATTTTGCCCGTTTGGAGTCCGGTTTCCGATTTTCAGAATCGTTGGCCGTGTGCCTCGGTTCGGGACTGCTTAACCACCTCCGTTTGCCCCGATTTTTGGCATACATCTTATTTGCTCCCTTTTGAGGGACACTGAGGTATGAGAGACCCACTTCGTGGTCGAATGCCACTTTCGGTGCTTAACGGGCAGTTTTCGGGGCCCCGAACTGCGCGTTCTGGCCCCCGAACATTCGTTTTGCATCGGTTTTCGTTCATTTTTGAAAGGCACCTCTGTTTCATCACCAGGAAGGTCGTAGAAGGGTGGGAGGCCAGCAATTGTTTCAGCAACCAGTATATATTCCTCCGACGCCCGCTTTTTCTCACTTCCAAGCCAATGTTGACCACCCTAGGGTCACTTTCTTCAATCCTAGCCCCCATATTTGTGTTGTACACACATGGAAGGACACCAAAAGTTGGTGGCCGGCCAGTAATTCCACCTGACCCTTTTGAACCCTTCCTAAAAGTGGCCTATTCTCTCTCCTTCCTATTTTACAGTTGACAATTTTGAACCACAGGGTTGTGTTGAGGGCACCTAGGAGGACACCAATTTGTGGTGGCCGGCCATTAAATCTTCTTGACCCTTTTGACCCATGGTCGGCCGGCCATGGGAGGTGGCCGGCCGGCCACCTGCAGCTCCAAAAAGTGGCCGGCCTTGCTCCTCAGGATGTGTACATTACAGCTGTGTATCTGTTTCCCCCAAAAAACCTGTATCCGGGGGACAACTTTTGGGGGGAAACTTGATCCATTTTCCCCCAACTTTTTCCCTCCATTTTCTCTCCCATTTTGGGCTACATAACAGAGCCTCCAGCTCTGTCTTGGAGGTTGGAAAAAATTAGCTTTAAGCCTTGTATGCATATTTCCCTCCATCTCTCTCATTTCCTTCAAAAGACACCAAAATCCTACCCTATTTTCATACCATCACCTAGCATCACCACCACTACTCCATTTCCAGCAGCTTGGGGAGCTTTCCAGCAGCTAGGAGGCATCACTTCTCAAGCCAAGAAGCAACCAAGGGTTGGTCTTCAAGGGTAAGTGTCAATTCCCTCTTTTTGAGCTTAATTTTGCAACATTTTTCTAGCTATTTTGCTTGCTGTTTTGAGCTCCGACCAAAAATGAAAGTACCCTTTATTTGAGCTTTATTTCATGTTTCATTAAGGGAATTTTGTCATTTGAGGTCCCCATCTTGCACTTCCTTCTTTATCTCTCCTTTAGGCCCTAATCTTGCATGTTATTTTTGGCCTATGTGTAATCTGTTTTGGGGCATGTAATAAACTGTAAGTGAGCTTATTTTGAGCCCTTCTTCAACATTGAAGAAGGGCTCATTACTTTTTGGAACCTCCATGTACCACTTGTCATTATACCCCTCTTTGGTCCCCATTTTTGCATGATTTATTAGCCTATTGTGTCTCTGTTTTTGGACCTTGGTCCGAACTGAAAGTGGCCATATTTTGACCCCCTTGTCATGTTTCATTAAGGGTCTTTGGCTGTTTGATGAATTTTTTGTATACTTTGTGTTTTGACCTCTTTTGGGCCCTATCTTGCATGGCATGTTGAGCGTACTCATATATTGTTTTAGGGGTTTCCATAAACTGTAAGTAGTCATATTTTTGGTCCCTATTCAGTGTTGTAGAAGAGACTTTTTCTGTTTGGGCTTTGCATCTACCACTTGCTTCATTGCCTCCCTTGCGGAGCCATCTTTGTATGATAATTTAGTCCCATTTGTGCTTAGTGTTTGGCCATGCTTTGAACTGTAAAAATGCTTATTTTGGGGCTTCCTTACTTCTGCCTTTTCATTCCATGTACCAATTATGCATGCATTCCATAGCTATAGGCCATTTCATGTGCCAAAATTCATGTTTCGGGACTCGTTCCATGCATCGGGTATCATTTTGCCATGATTTGGGGCTGTTTTGCATCTCATTTTACCTCTGAAAATTGCATGTTTGCATATCATTTTCCATGTCTTTGCCATGTCTCATTAGAGTTGCATTTCGGTGCCTGAGGGTCGGTCCTCGGTTTGTGTGCACGCGTGCACGCATTTCAAGTTGTCTTGTTTTCATCTGATGGCCTCCTATGTGAGTGTGGCTGAGGCTCTCTCATGTTGGTGAAAGCCCATTATTGCATTGCGTATGCCATTTCATCCATAGCATTGTGTATGCCCGGTTGTGTATTACCTCGTGCAGCGTGTATGCCATTCTATAACATTGTGTATGTTAGGATTGCATCTTAGCTGCATTTCATGCATATCATGCATGTTGCATCGTGTTCGGGATAGGAGTTAGGCCGGGCACGGGAAACGAGGTGCATTCCATACTCCGAGTAACGGAATGTGTCTCAATTCCCCAGTCACCGACACTCCGGATTATCCATGACGGAGTTAGGTTTTAGTTGAGCTTTCATGTGCATTCATTCTATATTGAGTTGCACAATTCGACTCCTCGACCATCATGCATCGAGATGCGTGATTGGTGGCACGAGGATCGACCTGTGTGGAATCGCTCTGAAGATTGTGCCAGCCTAGGTCGCTCTCCAGCGTCGTGCGAGACTCACCCCTTCGCTTCCAAACCTTGAACTTGAATTCAGAAGGTTTAACGGTCAACTACAATGTGAGGCCTGTGTGGCCAGATTTGAAGCAGCCCTCGAACAAGAGGCCAGGAAATGTCAGATTCAAAAGATCAGAAGATCAGAAGAAGCTTGCGAAAGCTAGAACAGAAGACCTCGAACCAAGGGCAAAGATATCAGACAATCGCTCGAAGAGTTGGAAGATAGTCCTCTTGCAAAACAGCAGCCATTATTCCTGGATTCAGATGAACTCAGGATCTTCAAAACCATTTGACATGGACAAAGCACACTTTTACCCCTTGAGAGACTCGCTGGGCGAAAACCCGAAGGGCGACGCCAGGCAAAAGTTAGAGCAAGAAAAGAAAAAAGAACAAAAAGAAAAGAACAAAAGCAAAAAAGAAAAATGCAAAAGAAAAGAACAAAAAAAAGAAGAGAAAATAAAAAAAAAAAAAAAAAAAAAAAGAATACAAAAAATGAAAAAAGAAAGAACAAGGCTCGCAAGGTCGAAAACCCGCAACGGGCGCCTTGGCAAAAGTTAGAGCCTAAAAAGGAGAGAGTTAATATCCCGAGTGTACCTTAAACCCCGAACTACGTAAGGCTTCATATTCCCATGTTGGATACGTAGGCAACTTCATTTCTGAAGTTCCAGCCATAAACACTTCATATCGATTGTGTCCGCATGCGATGGTTTTGGTGCATTCCTTGTCTTCTCTGTATCTGAGAGTCTGGTTATGGTTTTCGTCGCTTTTGAGGACTGACTACAATGCGCTGCGGACTATCCAAACAAGGGGCCAACTTTCCGTTGCATTCAAAGCCGCAGTGTCATTTCAAACAAGGGCAACTTTCCGTTGCCCAGCAGTGTCCTTCAGACAAGGGGCAATTTTCCATTGCTATGGATTCCGAGATTGTGCATCTCAAGAGTAGGTTCCGTGCTCGTTGAGCAGTGGTCGTTTGCAAAAATAGTTTTGAGAATTTTTACTGAGGTTGACTAATCTTCTCGAAAAATACTCCATTTTTCAAAACTGGACCATTTCTTGGACCAAAAAAGGAAAACTATCAGTGCTCAATGCCTAACTTGCATGATTTTAAATCAGAAAATCGAACAAGGCGCTTAAATCTAACTCTCAATGTTGTCAAAACTGTTTTGTAGAAAAGCAAAATCAAAAATGGTCAAAATGATGAACTAGGGGCACAGTTGAAGTCAGGTGTTCTGTCTTTTACCTTTGTCAAAATACTTGCCAGAAAGGGCACTCTTCTTGTCGGAAAGGACACCGTATTCGCCAGAAAAGGGCACAACAAAGGGCAGAAAGCTCTCACATCCTCAAAGCAACGAGTATCAAGCAAAGTGCGAAGCACGAACTAGAATGGGGCAAGATATTCCACTCCATCATCTGGACAGATCTATTACGTCCAAACCCCTAGCAAAAGCATCACACTAATGTTAGCTGACAGATTTTGCTACAACACCCATTGTAGCGCAACCCTTCCGTGGGGGAATCACTAGCTGTGAGGAAGAAAGAGAATCTAGCAGAATGCTAGGGGTACGAGCTCCACATTTGCTGTTTATCCATCAACCACCAGGGAGGGAATGAAAATGAGAGATTTGAAGAATAGAGAGGATGTGCAGATGAGAGGAAAAGTGAGAAGAGGGCTTTTTCAGAAAAAACAGAGCTTGAGGGCGAGTGATGTGAAGAACCACAAATGAGAAAGGGGGGGAAACACTACCGGTGAAACAGGCTCCCTGTGCACGTCTGAGTGTCGTGTCTTTTTGTTTTATCTCGATTTCTTGTTTGATCATTTCGAGTGTTTACTCGAGTGTTTAGGTCGTGTGCCTTTTATTTCCTTGTTAAGTCGGTTTTTGCTGTGTTCAGTCTAGGCTCAATACAATTGGTCAAGAC